TGGTGGTCGTGGTGGTGGTAGTGGTATTGGTAGTAGTAGTAGTAGTAGTAGTAGTAGTAGCAGCAGTAGTAGTACTAGCAGTAGTGGTACTGGCAGTAGTGGTGGTAGTGAGCCCAGGAGCTTTGCCCGGGAGACTTCAAGCTGACGCCAAGGCAGCTTCAGGGGTAAAGGGTTTAGGGTTTGGGGTTTAGGGACCCCCCTTAAAAATGATAGCTTCTCCGCGGCGTCCGACTGTGCACGAAGGCTACAGCCTGAAGTATGGTAGGAGCCGGAATGATGATTCGCGATCTTTGTCTTAAAGTTCTCGGTGTATCCGTAACAAGCATATGAATATGCATATACGCACACTATGTGTATTCCTTTTTATGTTAGGACTTAATTTCGTTTGTCTCCGCCGTAATTGTATAGCTCCGGCTACAGCAAGGCACACCCGAGGGGAAGTGTTCAGTAGATGTCGAAAGCGCGCCTCACCCCCGCTGAACCTTGAACCGCAGAGTTTTGAGAGTTTCGGACCGCGAGGGCTTGGCCACTAGCTGCAGTGTGGGGTTCAGGGTTTCGGGCCCAGGGTCTTATTCTGCAGTGGATCAGTCTTTGGCCAAGTAATGCACCTGCACAGAGTTGGGTGAACACGAAAGTCCGTGATGCAAGGATCTGGGTAGTCCCCAAACCCGGTTGCCAAAAAGGGTCTTAGCTAAGCAGACTGCACTTGTGAGCATCGACTCCGAACCAGCAGGAAGGAGTCGAGGTGCAAAGGCTATTCCATTGGTTGCCCCCTTCATCCCGAGAAACCTCCTAGGTCCTAGCCTTAGCAGCCTTAGCATATCTGACGCGTGGAATCCATTCCCTCCATCTTTTGCACCATCTTGCACCCCCCCAAGCGGCCCAAGCCTATCCTTGCGCAGGCCTCCCCCAATGGACCTCTTCAAGAAGATCACCTTGGAGGAGGTCCAAGGAGAGCCAAAGCACAGCTCGAGGCTTAGATTGACTAATCACTGATCAACAATTCAGTTCATGGCATCATAGCTTAAGTGCACTCGTGGCCATGGGAAGTTGCTGATGAGTGGATCTGCAAGGCAACTTCAGCAATGGCCGAGAGGACATCCTTGGCAGAATAGCTTCGCCACGTATAGTTGCATCATCGCAGTCCAACATTAAGTGGAGATGATGCTGAATTGCCTTGGTTCGTCTACCCTTCCACTCCTAACCTTGAACTACTCTAAACCTGAACTCCGCGAGGAGAACTTTAGCTCCGCCAAGTTTGGCAATGGTAGCTCTGGTGGCTATGGCTTTGGCCATGGCGGGCACAGTAACGGACGAGGCCTGAACCGCTGATCCGGAGATTTGCGCACAGTGGTATTGTATGGAGGTTGTCTTGGAATGCAGGGGTACCGCATGAAGGGGTCTGCAACAGGGATCCTCCTACTTGTGGCTTACATGAAGGGCTTCTGCTTTCTGAAACACACAGGGGACCCGTTTGAAACCTTGGAACAGGCACGGCCAACAACAGTGGACCTGGCTTCTTCAAGCAACACGATTTCTCTTTGGGCGGCCATCGCGACAAAGGTCCACCGAACCGAGGTAGCGCCCTTGGCATTACCCCGCCCCAGAGCAATGCTGGCCTCTGGTGCCATAGGTAGTCAGTCCTTCTTAGCTACCAGTGTTTGCGTGTGTTTTCTTGTCAGTGCTGCGGATATGACTCCATGATTGTTGTGGCGACCATGTCAATCTGTTTTCACAGCGTGCCGAAGCCGGCAGCCATACATCGCATGTTGTGAGGTCGTGGCGGAAAGGGAAGTGCCCGACCAACAGCAGGTGAGCCCTCCAGCTACGAGGGTTGGTCTAAACCAGGTCCTCTGGTTCTTGTTCTTGATTGCAGAATAATCCATGCTGATGCTCAGTCTGTCAAGCATAGCCATGACACCAACAGTCAACAGTAGACATGCCACTGGCAGACACAATGTCAACGAGGGTATAATGCCAGCTAGGGCACGAAGCAAGACTCAGAATCGACAGCGACAAAGGTGCAGCTGCTTCGATAACAATAATGGTAGCATGATCCAAAGCCTGGGGCGAGTAACCGTGATGATTGCAGGCAGTAGCAGAAATCAATTCGATGGTGTTAGCAGCAAGGTCGTCGTCGTCGTCGTCATCGTCGCCGCAGTCGTAGCAGTGGTAGTGGCAACTGTAGCCGTGGGCATAGCGATCGCGGCAGCGGTCGCGGTAGGAGTAGTAGTAGTCGTCGTCTTCGTAGGCGCCTTAGTAGTAGTAGCAGTGGTAGCAGTAGTAGTAGTAGTAGTAGTAGCAGCAGCAGCAGTAGCAGTAGCAGTAGCAGTAGCAGTAGTAGTCGTCGTCGTCGTCGTCTTAGTAGTCGTCTTAGTAGTAGTAGTAGTAGTAGTAGTAGCAGAAGTAGTAGTAGTAGCAGAAGTAGTAGTAGTAGGAATTAGTAGGAGTAGGAGTAGGAGTAGTAGTAGCAGGAGTAGGAGTAGGAGTAGGAGTAGGAGTAGGAGTAGGAGTAGGAGTAGTAGTAGCAGCAGCAGCAGTAGTAGTAGTAGCAGCAGTAGTAGTACGAGAGTCGAGCAGCAGCGCTACCGGTAGCAGCATCAGTAGCAGTCAGAACTGGTAGCAGCAATGGTCTCAGCAGAGCGACCTGCAAGTGCAGTGACAATGGAAGGATTCGATAGCGTTGAAATGCGACATTTCGAGCTGTTGCAGTCATATACCGAAGAGTAATTTCAGCGCTGTGGTGTTATAGCCGTCCGTATGATTACATGCAATCACTGAGCCCCAACAATTACTTGTCGTTTATGTTTGGGTCGTGAGTATTGCCTCTGGCGAGGCAAAGGGCGGAACGGCAAAGGCATGAAAGGCATGGGCAAGGGCTTTGGAGGCCAGGGAAGATACATGATTTTCACGTGTTTCACGATATATGGTATATCCTAAAGAATTTGTTGTATATCATATACAAAGTGTTTCAAGAATACATCTGTGTATATATACATATATATGTACATAATACTAAAAATACTGCTACATCTACCCAACTTTCTATGCAGGTGCATGTATATACTTGTCTAGATTGATCTCTAAGATACATTTTGCAGTATAAATAAAACGTTTTCGCATCCAGGCCTGGGCCTATTTATAAACCATAAAACATGAAACACCAGTCAGTGCAAGTGTGTGTGCATATATATATATATATTTATATGTATGTCTACATACAGTATACACATACATACATGTTTGGATGTATATTCATGTAGCTGTGCATGGCAACACTTCGCAGGTGAGTCATGCGCGCATCAGTATTTGCCGGTGTAACCATAGGGTTTCGGTGCTTTCTCAGTTTAAGTTAAGGACGGCCGGAAGCCGGAAGGGCGATTCGTGGCTGCGTCGTGGGATCCCCACATCATCGAACCGTCTGTTTGCTGCAACACACGTGGCATTCTGTAGACGTCGACGAATTTCACCAAATCGACGTCGTAATCCAGTATACTTTTCTTCACCAATATATCACTCGTAATGATAATGTCAGTGCCTACTGTGATACAACCGGACAAAATATAGCATAACTTAGTTTCATACCGTTTTATGTTATGTTGTATGGTACTAGGCTGTATTATGTTATAATATCTATATCCATATCTATATCTACATCTGTATCTATACATATGTATATATATATATATGTATATATATATGTGTGTGTGTGTATACAGGCATACATACACATATGAATCTATCTATCTATCTATCTATCTTTCCGTCCATGTACCTATCTAGCTATCTGTCTATCTGTCTACCTATCTAATCTATCTATCTATCTAGATATCTATCTATTAACATTTATCTATCTAAGCATCTATGTGTGTGTATATATATATATCATATATAGCTACAGCTTCACCAATCAAGGCAACAGAGTCGGCGGCCCCAAGCCTACAGTAGAAGCCCAAAAGTTGGAAACCCAATAGCCTCAATCCTTAAGAGTACCAAATTCATCCCTATGATGTGCAAAGGGTTCGCGGGCCGGTGCCTTTTGGCATGTTAGGTGCGATGGGCCCTAATTCTGAATAGACTGCAACTGGAGAGTGGAGCATGGCGAAACAAATGATGCAACCTCGTGAAGCTGTGAGCTGCCGTACCTGCTGCAGGTCTTACACGAAGCTGACTTGCATGCATGTGTGGCAGATTACAGAATCAACCTCTTCGGCTTGAGTGAGAGAACCTCGTCCCTAGCTCCTTGGAGCTTGTAAAGAGTGATGAACCCTTTGAATTGGTGAAGCCAAGCTGCACTTTGGTGAGTCAACGTGTGGCTATGCCATGTAGAGGCTAAACCCAGTCTTTGCGTGGAGGTTTGAACCTTGTATAGTGCTCGTCTCATATTCGGATTGTACCCTGCAATGCGGGCTCGTCCTAGCTAGGTGGGAGGCAAAAAAATCCTTAAGAGTCATATATAGGGAATCCCAGCACTATTTGTCCTTAATCCGGTTCCAACTCTTTTTGATTTACTATAATTCAATTCATGCAAACTAAACCGCCTCGTAAAAGCACCGAAACCCCAAAGCCCACACCTGCCTGGACCGATTTGCGAGTGCGCTAGCCCTAAACCCCAGCACCGAAACCCTAAAACCCTAACCCAACCTCATGGCTGCAGGCATGATGGACGGCATGGGTGGCGTCCCTGGCCTCGACGGTTCCGCAGCTGCAGACCGGGGTGAGCGAGTGGCTTCTTTCAGTAGGCTTTGCAGATTTTGGCGTCGGAATTTTGGTTCAGGGCTTCAGTATTGAGCGAGGGAAGGAGGCCGGGGGCTGGCTGTAGATCTTGGTCTCGGAGGTGTCATGTCCGTCGACATCAACGGCCGAGAGTATTTGATGACGCAGGCTAGGCAAAGAGCTTCGCGCACAGTCATGTGATTCTAGTCCTGGGCAAGCAACAGTTTTCCCAACTCCCACCAAGACTCCGAACCCTGAACCGCTGTGGTGCTTTAACACAGCAAAGGGTTTCGGCCCACTGCTCGGTCTCGAGAAGATTTCATGGATCATGGGCTTCAAAAGTGCTGAAGCTATCTTCTTGTTGATTCTGATAGCTGAGTCCTCCTATTTTCTACGTTGTTCCTTTTAGAGCTGCCCGGTCATACCACATCCGAAGGAGGGCCTCGTCTTTGACCCCGACACACAGATGCCGTTTGGGGTGTTGGCGGCCTAGTCAGATGCAAATCACTTCAGGGCTCAGGGGTAAGTTCAGCAGATCGCACCTCAGATTTAGATGGCGCCGAAGGTGGAGCATGGGTTTGCATATGGGATAGGTAGCTACCTATACATAGAGTGTGTGTGTGTGTGTGCGTGCGTGTGTGTGTCTGTGTGTGTGTAGATGCATGTTGCGTACATACTTGTATACACATTCATCGACCAGGCACATACATATACAGATATGCATGCGCATGCATGTATGACTGTATGAGTCATGGCATTGCCTGTGGATGGACATGGCTTTGCCACGTCTCTGTACGAGTTGCGCAGCCCCTCGAACCTGTGATTTGGAAGTGAAGCTATGAGTTAGTCTTTAGACCTGACAGGCTCTAAACACAGCTGTAAACGGAAACCGCAAACCCTAACTCCTGATTTTTAGAATGCCCCGCGGCACCAACGCCCAACCTTGAGCTCCAAGGCGTTAGAGGTCCCATGAGGTTTCTTTGTTCCCGTAATTCCAGCTAGGGAAGCGTCGAAGTTAAGCAAACTGTTTCAAGCTGGTCCAAAGTTGAGAATCCCAAGGTTCGAGATCGCAAGCGCCCCGATGAATACAGTACACTGCCTCCAACACACTGCACCCGAAACCGAAGCCCAGAGCCAAACATCCTGTTGATCCTACGGGCTTGCTTCAAGTATCAAGTTGTTTCCTCTTCGCAGGTAGCTTGAGTGCGCACAATACTTTAGTATAGTACAGTATAGTGTATGAATATATATGAATACATATATTTTTTGTGTATATATATATATACACATACATACATACATACATACATACATACATACATACATACACACTACCAGTACAACAGCAGTGTATGTACATGTATAGATAGATAGATAGATAGATAGACATGTATAAATAAAAAATACGTACATACATACACACATACATGCATCCATCCATCCATCCATGCATGCATACATCCATGCAT